GTGGTTAGGGATTATTAGGCTTAGACCTTGATCCATGCTTTGTGGTTTACGGGAACATTTTAGGCATGAACAAATGGTATGAAAGGAACTTGTTACACCCTGACATGTGATTCTTAAGTGAGGCCCCCATATGCACGAAATTTTTCTCTTTGGTAGATTGATCAAATTTAAACTTATCATCTTTGACAAGTGTGCAAGATGAATGGATGGTTTATCTAAATGCAAGGCAACCAGTTATCACAAAATTTAGTTTTTTTTATATATTTTTATTTTATGTATTTTTTATATTTTAAAGAAGGCTTGGTCTTGTATGGAGTTGTTTTTGGGTTTGACTTTGTTGTGAATATAGCCATTATCAGAAAAAAAAAGCTCAAAATACATATTTATATTGGAACTAAAAAAGGGCTTTTTTATGATTGATGATCTTGTATGATTATTATTGATGATAATCATACTCATCGTAAAGGATATCATAGAGTGTTTGTCTTTAGAAATTGAGGCTTGTTTTTACTGATAACATAACTGATCGTTAGGTTGAAATTGGAAGTGTTTTGATTTATTTTTTTATGGGGAGGAAAGGTGGCATATATTTCACATGAAACTCCACTGGTTTTGATGCACAATTTTCATGGTCATCACAGAGGTGAGTTTTGAAGTTTTTAATTGATTTATTGGGCAGATCATTGATGATGTTGATTTATTTGGAGTCCTTTTTGTTTTGATATGCAATAATTGTGATACCGAAACTTGTGGGAAAATCAATAAAAAAACACAAACACAAACTTTCATTAATATTAAAGTAGGGTAACAACATGATTCAAACGAAAATAATAACATAAGACATAAAATGATACCAACAAACGCTCATAATGTATCCCAATGGGTGGTGGAGGTCGACTAGAGGAATATGGATGACTTAGAGTGATGACGACAACCACAAGAGGCGGGTGGTAGTGAAGATAAGATGTGGAACTATAGGGACAACAATTAGGAAAGGGTTGTAAGTGGTTGACAGCGGTAGTGGGGTGGTTAGGATGAGCTTGAAAAGAGTAAGAAAGACTGGATAACATTAATAACTTGTAGAGGAAATGGCTGGGTGTCGGGGTGATGGGGGGAGAGTTTAGCGGCTAAGGAGTGGGGAGAAGGTTTGGGCAAGGTAAGAAGGGAGGATATATGATCACCACCCTGGAGAGGATACAATCGGAGCACCACCATCTTCTTAGATATAACCCACAAAGGTGAAATAAACTCCACACAAGAGATCAAAAGACAACACTTCTTGGCTGCTACCGACCTTCGATGTACCCAATGATTTAGGGATGAAATATTATAATTCTAAAATATATTTTATAAATTTTATAAGTAGAGCTTTTCCATAATTTAGCACTATACACTGTATTTTACGCAAGTATACATATCGTTCAAGTAATATAAAACTTTTTTTTAGCCTAGAGTATTGATCCCACATGAAAGACTATTAAATTTTAAAGACTCCAAAAAAGTTCTAATTGAATAAAAGGAGAGTCTTAGCTTGAAAATAAGTTAGTGAATTCTACTAAAGTACCACTAATCTTATAAATTTACTATAAAGCTAATTTTATTAATGTTAAATAAGTTGAGAGAATTCAAGCTATGAAAATTACCCTTCCCTTGCAATAAAATTAATAATTTTTGTAGGAATGAAACACTTCTAAATTATATTTGAATTTGTGACAAATAAGAGCATTCATTTTCTTTACCTTTTTCAATTGCATAAAAAAATTCGGTCTAACAAGGTAAGTGTCTCTGCTTGTCTCCCTAGAAACCTTCAAGTTACCTCCATTAAATTTATCTCCCTATTTATTTGCATTGAAATACAAATTATTTTTCCTTCACTCTATAGATCAATGAGGTTTTTACTAGTTGTTAACACGACCGCTCTCCCGGATCGTACTGGATTCACAACGAATTTTAATGCACTAAATGGTCAGATTGATGTTTAAATGATGCGTGAAGTAAAAAACCATCACAATCATGAATAAAAAATCATTCTAAATACGACCACATACCTACACATATTACTATTTCATCACAAGAGGAAAGAGGAAAGGAATTGCTCACTATGCATGAAGGAACCACAATACTTCACATCTTATAATAAAGCAAAGTCATACAAGATGAGTTTACACTAATACAAGACAATATGAAATAAAAGATTTATCTTTCTCCCTGAGAACATAAGAGAAAACTCCTCCTCAGGTGATCTCCTAGTCCTCCTTGCACTGCTAACAATAATCCCTTACAATTTCACTCAGATCTCTCAAAGGAAATGCAGAAAAAATGAAAAACCCAAATCTATCATCCCCTTTCCTGCACTCCTTTTCTTCTTCTTGACTTCTTCAAATTGTTTTCTCCCGTTTTGAACTGCTTCCCCCGGAATTAACCTCCAAATTTTGTGTAAAACTGCTCCAAAAACTGTCTGACACTAGTCTGTGGTGCCTAGGTGCCACCTTCTCGTGAATGTCTGGGAAATCATTAGCGCCTAGGCACATCTTTCTCTATTTGCGGGAATATTTTTGGTGCCTAGACGCCATTATGTGGCGCCATGACGCCACTTGCTCGGGTGTCTGAACATAGTCTAGCGCCTAAGCGCCCCATATACAGCTCCATGTCGCCTAGACGCCAGTTTATTATTTGCTTCATTGCTCCATTCACCTCCTTTTCACTCCGTTTCTCCTCAAATTTTCTCCAAATCTCAAACCTTTGTACCTGCAACAAAAACATAGAAATACCTTCATTTAAAGTGCAGTTTCATCAAAAATGAATATTAAATATAAAGAAAAATTTAGCATGTTACCAGACATGTCAAAATCCCCCAAACTTAAATGTTATTTGCCCTCAAGTAATACTACAATTTAAAAACTAGTTGATTTAAGATTAGTGTGTTTCTTCGAGATTTCCTACAATTTTAACTTGAGATTGTCATAGTACAATCTAGGGAAAATTTTAGTGAATAGGACTAGGATTAAGGTATAAGAATATCTTGTAGTCAACTTAGAAATTCTGATTTTCTATTTATTTTAAAATTAAATTGCAATTTGTCAAACTTGGGATTCCTAGAAATTATAAAAGACAGAATTTCAAGTACTCTAGCAGTAAAGATTTAACTAATACAATTATGAAATAAAATAAAGCTTAAAATTGTATCTAAGTTTTCTTCCTTAAGAAAGTTTAGGTGAAATTAATTTTTGATTAGTCATCTCCTCAAACTTCTCACTTTTCATTTCTTTTACTTTTCTTTTTCTCTTCCTTTTTTTTTCTTTTTTTTTTATATGTGAGGATTATTGTATCTGAATTAGTGTTTAATGGTTTTAAATTTCACTATCTTTCTCTTAAATTTAAAAAACCATTACTTTCCTTCACTTTGGATTTGTGATTATTAGTTTGAAAATAAAGTTTAATAGAGGCTCAATTCTTATGAGCTTTGGAGATTTTGTGGATGTTTCTAAGATTAAGGATTATAGATGGTAACTTTTTTTAAACTATTATCTTTTATTTATTTATTCATTTATTTTTTTAATATGGCCATCGCTTGTTATAGTAGTGTCCTTTAAGGGGTGTCCATTTGTTAAATTATTTATTTATTTGTTTAGGTTCCATGAACACCTCTATCTTTTTTTTTGACTCCCCTTTCATGGTTTGGGGTGAGAAGTGCCTACCTTTTATATAATAATAATAATAATAATAATAATAATAATAATAATAATACTATTATTATTATTATTATTAAAGGTTCTGTGAGCTTATGTGCTCACGCGTGTGTTTTTTTTACATAGTAGATTTTGTTTTCTCCCAACCATAAACAGAATTGATGGCTTCAATATAGGAGTTGACACATTAATTTGCAGTTTAGGTCCTTTTTAAGATTTTAGACCAGTTTGACTGCCTCATCATTGCATTCTTTGATTCCGATCTTGTAGTATAGATAGATCCTTTTCTTGTTTGCTCTGTGTCGAAAATGATTTGTTTGTGGATTCCCCCAGAGATGATGACATAAAGTAAGCTTAATGTGAAAGGCATACAATTAGCTATAGATAATCATTACCTTGGAGAGATTAGTGATTCTGATAAAAGCTCAAATTGCAGAAGGAAATTGTGATTATGCATGAGAATTTGACATTCTCGCTAGCTTCTTCATGCACTCCTTTGGACTCTTGGGATGTAAACTTTATCGTTCCATTATCAACATTTTGTGGAGTGGGTATTGCTATTAGGTCTAAGGCGGGGATACTATGATTCTATGTCAACTTTATAGTTGACTATATTCGCTGTGGGTTTGTTGAACTCCATGTGCTCTAAAAGCTTCAATGTGGGTATCACAATAAATGACATGTACAACTTATAATAAATCAACACAATGTGTAAATTCCAGTGTCCATTTCACCGAGTGGACACTTATGTAACCAAAATGTCAAAACAGTTCGGGAAAGCCCCTGTATCGCTCAAATTGCAATGAGGACAGAGAAGATTTGTGATGCATGGAGGTGAAAATTCACAAAGATGTAAATATTCCTGGAAAAAGAAGGAAGAATATCATAATAATAATGATGATTATGATAGGCATATATATCACAGGATTCATAAGCTCTTGGCAATGGCAAAAATTTGATGCTCCAAATTTATATTAAATGTCCTTGTTCCCCTGTCCCTACATGCACAAAATTGCTGATATTTTGTTTTTTTCCTTTTTCCTTGTTATCTGTTTTTTGTCAGTTCTGAAAGCTATAATTTAATTTTGTTCTCTGTTAAATTTAGATGCTAAAAGCATAGTAAGGATGAACTTTGGTATGATTGCAATGTGCTGCACTTAAAACTTGGTAACATGATGTGATTAAAGAACATGTTTGCATACGTTTATGAAGTCTACTGCTTATAGTAAAGCTTCTAGATTCTTCCAAGCATTTGACCCCCTTTGTTTTTACGAGTGGTTTTGCTGAGAAAGCATTTGTGTTTATAACCAGGACGGATTGTTGAGTTGCTTGAAGCTTTAGAAGCAATGTCTAATGACAATCAACCTATTCCCCCAAGAGCAATGATCTTGAGCAGAAAATACCGTACATTAGTGAGTTCCTGGATAGAGCCTTTGCAAGAAGAAGCAGATGTGGGATTTCCAATTGATTATGTAGAAAGGTTTGGATGAGTTGTTACTGGCTTCATAGCTTTAGATATTTAACTGATTCTCATAAGTTCCAGATTCAGGATAAGATTATTTTTTTATCAAAATGTTAGATAGTTCGAAGGAATTTGTCATTCATTTAATGCTTAATTATAGTTTTTTTCATCAATTTTGCATTTTGTGCATGCTATTATCACCCTTCTGTAGGAAGAAAGGAAATGACATCTAGTTTACAATAAATCTATGAGAAATGATTAGAATGGCACTTTTTACTGGCTGTCACCAGTGCGAAACCACATGCCACGCCATTCAGACATGATTTTCAGTTAAAAATGTCAGCCACTTTAACAGCTCCTCAAGTATATTTGGCTGACGGAAAAGTGCGTGCACATCAGAAGAATTTATATCTTTGTTTTAGTGGCTATGGTGGGTTTGAACTGGATGTTTGAGAGGCTACCTTGGATGAAAATTCAGTTTCCTGTGGTATGAGATGGAGGTTGTAGCTTTAAATCAAGGAGATAACATAGCTATTAACTAATAATGTTTTCATTCCAAATAATGTTCAAAAGTGTCAGATGTTAATTACAAGAGATAGTTTCATTCCAAATAAAGTTCTTGCATGCAGAAGCTGGCAAGTGATGATACCAGCGCTGAAGACCAAACAGCCTCATCTTTAAGGATGGGTTTTTTTTTTCTTTTGTTTTTTTGTTTTTTTGTCCTGTTATATCAGCGCTATAGTCGGAGCATTATGGCTATATGTTGTTTGATTAAAGTACCATTGTTTTCTTGCATTCATCTTTTCTCAATCTGAATTATATTCCCTTAATTAAAGGTATATTGCTGAAGGGGGGCTCACTGGAGAACGCAAACGGTGGGTACCACGCAGAGGAAAAACCCCTTTAGACCCTGATGCCTTTGGTTTTGCTTATTCCAATCCTATGGAAACTTCTTTCAAGCAACGCTGCTATGAAGAATCAAAGATCTACCACCGTAAACTTTTGAAGACATTGAAAAATGAAGGGTCTACAGTTTTAGGTGAAGTCTCTGATACAGATTATCTCAGGGTGGTAGAGAGATTGAAAAAAATCATCAAAGGTCCTGAGCAAAATGTTTTAAAGCCAAAAGCTGCCAGTAAGATGATAGTTTCAGAATTAAAAGAAGAACTAGAAGCTCAAGGGTTGCCTACAGATGGAACTAGGCAAGTTCTCTATCAACGAGTGCAAAAAGCAAGAAGAATTAATCGTTCTCGTGGTCGACCTCTTTGGGTTCCCCCAGTTGAAGAGGAAGAAGAAGAGGCATGTGGCTAATTTTCGTGGTGACTGGGTTTTTATTATCTTCTGTATTTTGCAAGGAAAGAAGAATGAAACTAATGGAGTTATTCACATTAACTTTACATTTATATTTCATAAATTCATTCATTGGGATATTGAAAAAGATTTTACTTGGTATTTCTTACTAGGTTGATGAAGATTTGGAAGAACTTATCTCACGAATTAAACTTCAAGATGGCAATACTGAGTACTGGAGGCAACGTTTTCTTGGGGAGGGCCTGAAAGAAGTTCATGATGAGGAAGAAGAAGATGAAGAAAATGATGTTGATGATGCAGATGAAGAGGGTGATGGTGATGCTATAGAGGATGCTACAAAAGAAACAGAAGATGAAGAGATGGATGAAGAGGAAGATGAAGTCGAACAAACAGGGACTCATGTAGAAGAAGCAGCAAAGGTTAAGCAAGATAAAAAATCCAAGCCGCCTCAAATGATTGGAGTCCAGTTGCTGAAAGATTCTGCAGAAACATCTACTTCTACAAAAAAAACACAAAGGAAACTTGGCAGAACAGTTGTTGAGGTTTGCTTCATGGAGATATTTTTAGTTATATATATATATATATATATATAT